CATCTTGTTGGGATGCTGACCTCTAGTGTTTTCTGATTGTGGTGGTGAGAAATGTACTCACAGAAGCCTTTCAGTAGATATATTTAAAGCTCCAGGGGTGGTGTGGCCCAAAGGTTACTTTGTGACAAGGTTGGCCTTGGGAATAGTTGGCTACTGACATCCGCCCTCTGAAATCCCCTCTAGAATGAAGATTGTTCACTGATAATGTTCTGTATCAGATTTTTAAAAAATTAAGTATAAATTACATGGCAGTCTCGACTTTTATTACAGAAAGCTATGTAATAAATATTCAGAATAGTTTTACAACATTACTTGGATGTTTCAGAATGATCAGAGAACCTATTCATTGTCATCGGATTGTTGCAGGGGATTAAAAAATTTTTTTAATGGCACCCTTTCTTCAAATTAAATAATTTGCAAAAGTGTGATTTATAAAATGAATAAAAGCAAAGTTGGTTTGGTTGGGCACCCATCAGCTGAATCATCTCCTCCCTGGCCCTGCAGCTCTTTCTCAGGCTCTGGGATGAAAACCTGGGCAGCACTGTTTGGTGTCCATTGGGTCGTAGGGACTCTTGCTTCTGGCTGCTCCTGGAGTGGAGTTAGGATTTTTTTCCCTTGTATTTTGAACACTTGGTGCCTAATTTGTAATCTAAATAGATGATCTCTTAACAACAAAGTGTTACTGCTTTGAATGGTGGGCAGGTAGTTGTTCTTCAAAGATAGCCTCTTATCTGAAGAACATTTATTTTTTTAAGACTTAAAATACACAAAATTCAAGGTTTATTTTTCCTACAAGAAAAAAACCAAACACAAATGTCTTGTCATACAAACAACTATGAAACATGCTATAGTGACAAAATCTGAATCACGACACAGGAACAGAACTCTATTAGTATCTGCAGAAAATATTTTGGAATATTGCCAATGTCTTCCTGCTTTTTAAAAAGTCTGTTTTGCATATAAGGAAATGGTTTGGAATGTTATGTGCTGCAAGAATATTTTGAGTCATACATACATGTGAAAATATTTTTTTTTGCTACACATAATAGTCATTTTTTCCATCACAGTGAAGAAAATTCAGTCAGTAATAGGATCTTCCAGAGGCCATGCCATCTTTAGTAGCTTAATGTATAGGTAAAGGATTAGGGCTATTGACGATTCTGTGGTATTGGGCGATAACTTAGCTGCCGGGCAGCTTTTTAAAAACAAGTGTCCACTGGACGCCATATGGCTTTAATTGGATCTGGGCTGAGTGAGTCACCCTAAAGCTTTGATGGGTCCAAATATACCCTAGCTCTCCAGCATACCTCTGTGCCCTTGTGATGTCAGGTTGCACTGTGGAGTGTGTGTGTATGTGTGTAGTGGGGGTAGGAGGACGTGGGGATGACCAGAAGCACCAAATATTATAAAGCAATGAGTTCTCCACATCCAGAGTTTTGGAAAGGTCCTTGAGAGGTCCGTGACGGTGCTGATGTCCCGCAGAGATGGATGCTGCTTTCCAGCCTCACCTCAGCCTCGCTGGCCCGTGTGACAGTCTCTCTCAGTTTAGGGTGTGGGCAGTGTGCCATATGCCTAAATTTGTAGTCCTCTCACAATAGTCTATTCTTAAAACAACTCTCAAAGCTTTTCCTCTGGAGTAGCTAAATTTATAGTTCGAAGCTTGTAAGATCTGTGTTCTTTTCATTAGACTGGGCTGTGGAGCTTTGATATTGCTGGTGTATGAGAAGGAAGTCATGGTCTGGCGGTAGCCCAGTCACTGGTTTTCTGACATCACTTAGATATATTGTAATGGAAACAGGAGAGTTTAGAGCGCTGTGATTACGCATTTAGTAAGATGCTGTTCCGCATCCTTGGCTTGTAGTCTTAATGACTTTCTGTGACCCCCGAATTTTCCCCTTTAGTTATTTTTATTAACAGGGGCTTGCTCCCCCTACCCCCTTCTTTGTTCATAGAAGAAAGATATGGTTTGGCATGATTGGAAACCAAATGCTGGGATGTATCTCTCTTTCCAACTTGAGATTTTTGATTCCTCGAGTAAAAAGTTGAATTCTGTCCTTTCACTCTTGCCTGGCTCTAATTCCTGAGATCACTCACTGCTTAGCCTAATATCTCTGTAATTCTTATTCTGACGGAGCTGGAGCTCCTCCCTTTGCTCCTTGTACTCAGGGTCCAGTGTCAAGGTTGGCCTTTTTCCTACCCTGGGCAGTAGCTACTGAGCCAGAGCCTGAGGGAGGAGTCCACGGGTCCCACTTCTCTCTGTGCTGTGAGCATGGTTCATGCTCCTTTACAGTCTCCAGTTGACTCTAGAAGACGTGGAGTGGAGATGATTATTGGGAAGCACTAGGTAGGTCATGTAAAATAAAGGCTTAATTTTAAAGGTCTCCTGGGATTCCCCAATAGGTTATAGCACTTAAATTTCTGCTTTTCCATAGCAAAATAGGTGAAATGTTAGTTGAGAAGGAAGAAAATGTTAACTTTCTTCTGCTCTAGACTCAGTGAAAGACCTTAAAGAGTAGGTAAAATATGAGAGGTTGGAAATTGAAATTAAAAGTGGGAGGACCAATCAGAATAAGAAGGAGTATTTAAGATTTTAGAGGGTGAACACACATAGTAGGAGTGTTTGGTTTTAGAGTGGTCCTCCCTTAAGGAGCACTTCCCTGACTTCTGAACACTTCCCAGCCATTCTTTCTTGGCCTGCTGCTCGAGAGCTCTGAACACAGGACCATCCACTTGGTGTCATCCACTCGGCTATATATTTGAATGGAAACGGAGCTTCTGTGCCCCGTGTGCGTTGTATTGGGTTAATGAACTGATTTGACTTGCTTTTTGCCCAACCTTCCACTTTGTCTCTAACCAAACCCAAAGTGCCACGTTCTACGAAAATCTAAGTATTAGAGTGAAACTGAATTCAATCGGTGGCTGCTTCAGAGTCAGAGGCAGTGCTGGCACTTGTCAGTACAGTTAGTGACTAGCCAGCCTGCTCTCTAGAATAAAGGAAGGCCGTGAGCTCTTCCTCCAGTAGAAGTTACTGCTGATATGTGAGGCTGACCTAACCAGCTAAACTGACTGACCTGCACCAGTCTAAACGCATAAAACAAAATGAGCTACTAGCCTGCTGTAGGAAGCTGAGTAGAGCTCGCAGCTCAGTCTGCTCTCCAGCGCAGGGAGGGCCAGGCTCCTGAAACACACTGCCTTTGGGAGGGCTCCAGCTGGGCCCTGCTCTGTGGCGTGTGGTCAGGGTGCGAGTCCCTGGTCTCCGGACTTCTCTGTACAAACTGGTGGTGTCTTGGTCTGCTCCCCCCAGCCTCTTCTGACTGATACTGACAATGGCACCTTGTGTCCCCTGCCCCCTGCTCCCCGCCCTGGCCCTGCTCACCAGGGAGTAGTTTCGTGGCTGGGATCCTGCTGGCTCCCATTCCTTTTCAGACTCAGCCTAGAGTCTGACACCTCTTCCTGAGGGTAAAGCACTGCCATGGGTTTTCTTCAGCTGCTTACCTCATTTTACTAATCTCTCTGTTGGTTTGATTCTGTTCCTGGGCAAGTGACTTCCTCACATCGGTACTCTTAGAAATAAAACAGCCTTTTTCTTCACTCTCAACATTTTGTTCATGTTTTATTAATTCCAGCCTGCTGTGTTCTGTGCTTTGTTCACCTCGCCATTCTCGAGATGCCTGTGCCAGCTCGCTTTCCCCTTGAACACCTTTCACAGCAAATTCAGGTGAGAACTGCCAGCAGGCAATTGATGTTCAGGCTCTTGGGGTTTGCTGCTGTATTTGTTAGCATGTGAGTGAAGGCCCGTCAGCCCTGAAATGTTGGAGAGGTAGAACTAAGTGCCCCCTGAGCAGGAACCGAAGTTCGGGAGGGAATGCTGTGATGACGAAGAGAACACACGGAGTTGATGGAGGGGAAGCCATACATGGTCTATGTCCCTGGAAAGCTGACTTGATGTTTACTTAAACGACAGGGCCATTTTATCAGGCTGCTAGGAGGACGACCTGGAAGAAGGTATTTTGTCTGGCTGGTGGAGGGGTCTGTCGAGGTTGCGTGTTTAAATCCCTGCTCACTGTGCTACACTTGACCACAACACACATGGCTCACTGTCAGGTTTCAGCCTCACCAGGTCAGCTTGGAGAGAAAATGCAAGCCTTTCTTTGGGTCCAAATGGTGAAACAGCAAGAAAACCCAACAAACACAGCCTTTTAGATTCCCCACAGAGGGACTCCCTTCACCCCTGCTTTTTGACCTCTCCCATTAAAAAATGTCAGCTATTAAATGTTTGGAAGGAATGTGCTAGCCTGTGTGAGAAAACGGTCCATTTTGGGGATCCATGGTCTCTACAATACCGTTTTTGGCCTTGACGCTCATACACAGACCAGCTAGAAATGTGTGACTGGTTGTTAACTAGAGTTATGTCATGGGGTCATCTGTGCATGGCTATAAAAGTCAGGATGCCTGGCCTGATAAAGGAGTTTGTGCTACAGTACTTGGACTGTCTGGGAGATATAATTTGAATGTTGAGATGTTTTTAGGGACAAGGGACAGAATAAAGGAAAATGGGGAAATTTAAGCCACATAGTCATTGTTGATGGAGCCACTAGTTTTGCTTACAAAAGGAGTGGGGCCTAGGCTATAATGAGTCCACACCAATACTGCTTCTCATGTAGCAGCTTCCCAGATGTCTGAGCTCAGGGTGCCGGTCCAACTTCCACTTGCATGCAGAACACTTGGGGAGACTGACGGAGAGAGAGGTTTGGGCCTTAGGGCCAGAAATTCTGACTGGTCTGAGATGAAGCTAGCTGTGCCTGTGGCCATGCCCACACTTGGAGAAACTCTAGCCTATTGTCCCTTGGCTATGCGTTTTGAGCTGTATTTTATTACTAAATGAGAAGTGGGTGAGATTGACTTCTTCCAACCTTAATCTCTAAAGGAGTAATGATGACCTTAGGTGTTCCCTGTGTTCTCGAGCCCCTCAAACAGGTGGGCTTTGTGGTGTTACACCTGCCCTACAAGTTTTCTCTCTCTTTTACTCAGCATGTAGCTCTGACCCAAGGACTTTTGCATTTTTACCTCCCTCTCTCTCTTCTCTGTGAACAGTGAGGGGAAGACATGTCTCAAAGGGGGCTGGAAAGGGATCACATGGCTCTGTTCTAATATCCTGGGCTCTTTTGGTGACCAGGAGGTTGGTTCCAGCACCTACAATGTTTTAGCACCAGGTGCTTGGTGATTAGGGGCAGCCCTGCTCCCATCTGATCGTGGGAGGCCTTCTGCGGTCGGGGAAGGAGCACTGAGAAAGGCTTTAGGACTGCTTCCTCCAGCTCTGCAGTCACCGTGCTCAGTCCAATAGGTTTGGGTTAAACACAGTTGAAGCTAATGTCTTTACGTAGGAATTCCAAGAAACTTTGACATGTAATGTGTACGACCAATCACAAAAAAATGTAGAAGGTGTTTCCCCAACATGCTTGGCCATGGGACCCTTGTAATTGAGAAACCTACCAACAACTTGGTGCTCAGTTTGTGAAATGCCGACCTAGCGGTTACTATCCTTGCATTTTCTGATCCTGTGACATTAATCTGCAGATTCTGCTTCCTCATATATTCTTGAGGAGTAGACAGCATTCCTGTGGGAATTCAGAGCATTCCTGGTGGTGTAACAGTGGGTGGAGGAGAACTGACCTCCTTCCTTGGGAAGTTGAGGGCATCGTCCTCTGGGAACTAGAAATGATTCCTGAAAACCTGTGGTCTGCCCTTGGCTGTCTGTTCTGGGCGTGAGCAGCTTCCCAGAGCTTCCCCTGTTTCTGTTGTGTTCTGAAAGGCCCCTCTTGTCACACCAGATCTGGTTTCTTTCCATTGTCATCAAGACCTACCTGTTGCCAGGTATGATGGAGCATTTGCTTTCTGGGTCTGAGGCGTGGTCTCTGGATGAAACTAGCATGGGTAGGTTTGAGGTTCCCCTGGCTGGGCTTTTCTTTCGTTTGCAAAACACTTTCGATAGATTATTGCCACCCATACTGCTGAGGTCCTACTAAGCGTCTGCATTGGATGGAGGTGGCAGGGCCTAGAGGGGCCTTTGTCCAAAGGCAAGCACAACACTAACAAGAAGTGAAAACTAGCCACACACAGACATTGCACTTGGTTATCCGAGGCAGGGAAGCAAGCATCTGGGGGCAGGGTGATGTGATGCCCATCATTAGCCCCATTTCAAGGAAGCTGGAGGCTCTCAAAGCTGGACAAAGCTAGAATGTCAAGGAGAAAGCAAGGGGGGACACCTACAGATACTCAGTTCCTGGGTCAAGGCATTTAGAAAGTGTATTCTCAGGCCTTCCATTCTGTTCCCATGAGGAACCACTGCTGAGAGGGCAGAGATGAGGAAGGAGAGGGGAGGGTGTAACAGCCCCCTCTCCCAGGCTGGCCCCGTTAGTCAGAGAACAGGCTGGCGAAGGACTTCCTCAGGTTGCGGATGGTTTCGGCCTTGGCCTCATCTTCGCTTGGGGTCCCACGCTGGGAAGTGTCAGATGTGCTGAGGCTGTTAGTCAGGGACTGGGATTTGCTGAAACAGAAAGGCAAGGGTGTTTGGGGGCGACAAGGCCTGGACTCCTGGGGAAATGCATTGTGGGGGGCCAGAAGCCAGGTGGGTGAGTCCATTTGCCACAAGGATACTAAGACCAGAAACCAGACATTTCAACGCTTACCTGAAGTCTGTGCTTTCCCACTATGCAATATTGCCTGAAGGATCACTTGCTAATTCCTATCAAACCAAAAATACATTCAGCCTTTTATCCAGTAGTACCAATTCAGGTATTTTCTCTATAGCTAATCCTGCACACATAAGAAATAGTGCATGCCAGATTTCTATTTATGCAAACCAGATTTCTATTTGTGGTGGATAAATTATAGTACACCTGCACAGTGGGATATTATACAGCTGTGAAAAGGAGGCCATTTCAATGAACTGAGCTCCAGAATTTATTATTAAAGTAAAAATCAAGGAACAAATGGTGTGGATAGTGAATACTACCATTTGTGTAAAAAAGTGGTAGGGGGAGAAAGTCAGAACATATGTTTTTGTGTTTGTATAAGGAGACACTAGAGGTACACACAAGGAACTAACTTCTGGGGAGCAGGAGGCAGGAAAGCATTGGATGGGAATGAGATGGGAGTAAGGTTTTTCAATGCATAGCTTTGATACAGTTGATACCTTTTATATTTTTGAGTCATGTGAATGCATTACCTATTAAATAATTATGGTTAGCATGATCCATGGACTGGATGTCCTGTGTTTGATCCCAGCTCTAACAGTGGAAATTTTGGCAAGTTATTTAATCTCTTTCTCTTATTTAATACAGGGTGGGGCAAAAGTAGGTTTATAGTTTGTGTGGAAAATAATACAATAGTTAATAAATAATAATGCAAGAATAAACTGTGTTTTGTGTCTTCACAACTGTAAACCTACTTTTGGCCCTCCCTGGATTATCCCCCTCTGTAAAATGGGGGTGATAGCTATTCTAAGCTTGTGAGAATTGAAAAAACCCAACTAGGTAAAGTGCTTGGCACATACTAAGTAGGTAGTAGATGCTAGTGTAAAACTATAATTATCAATGTTAGTATTTGCAATTGAAGGAGGGGAGGCCCTTTAAAAAATACACCCACATTTGGGATCTCTGTTTCTGACCTCAAACCAAGAGATGGCCTTGAGAGGGAAGAGAATGTGTATTGTGATGGATTGTTTACAAAATTGATGGCACCAATTCCTCAGGTTCCTGTAATCTACCCTTCTGCCCTGTGACTTTGTAGGTCCTCCCATCAAGAGCATGTTTCCCTGCCTCTTGAGCCTGGGCTTGGCCATGTGACTTGCCTTGACCAGCAGCATGGGATGGAATGAAATGAAATGACACTGTGAAGCTTCTAAGACTGGGCCTCAAGAGGCCTTGAAGCTTCTACTTGTGCCTTTTTGGAATGTACTTCTACCATGTGAGGAAGCTGGGCCCAGCTCGCTGGAGGAGACCTGTGGAGAGAGAGGCCCAGCCGACAGCCAGTGCCAACAACCACATGTGTGCGTGAGGCCCTCGTGGACCATCCAGCTCTAGTGATGCTGCCAGATGACTGCAGTATTATGAGTCATCCCTGGAGGTAGGGTTGCTAGATTTAGTAAATAAAAATACGGGATTAAATCTGAATTTCAGATGAAAAATAAATTTTTAGTATAGGTATATCCCATGCAATATGTGAGGGAATATTTATACTCAAGATTATTCGTGGTTTATCTGAAATTCAGTTCTAACTGGGCATCCTGTTATTTTATCTGGCAACTCAACAGGAGACCCCTGCAGAAGAGCCTCCCTATACCCTTCCAAATCCCAAAACACTTACTTGAGATGGGGGTGGGGTGGTGCTGGCTTCTTGGACTCTTCACCCTGTTGGGAGGTGCTGCGGCCTTGTATAGGGGGCCGGGGCTGTGAAGGGAGGGTGGCGACTGGCTTGGAGGCCTGGTTTGGAGAGCCGCTGCTGGATGCCCGAGACAGCTGTGGAGAGCCTGGTGATCTCTGCTGCTGTGGGGATCCGGCCTGGGGGCTTAGGGGCTGCTGGCCTTGTGGGGAGAGCCTCTGTTGGGAGGGGCTTCCAGATCTTGGGGGTTGAGGAGACTGAGCTTGGCGAGGGCCCCCTACAGTGTAAAACAATTATTACATTCAAATTTTTCTTAGGATAACATGGCTGTGAACAAATGTTGCTTCAAGGATGTTCATTACAGCGATTTTTATAATAGTAAAAAATGGAAAACAATATAAATGCCTAACTGATTAGGAATGTTAAGATACATCCACATAATGGAATATTCTGTGGCCATTATGTATGGTGTTACAGAATAATATTAAATGGGATATTGTTGATATATGCTAAATAAAGACTGCCAACCTGAACAAGCAGCTTATGAAACAGTACATGCAGTTCTATTGCATTTGGCACATATGTATAAAGCTACGTAAAAAAGAAAGACCAGAAAGTTATACACTAAAACCAGTGTGTCTCAAACCTTAATGTGTACATGAATTACTGGGGTGATCTTGTCAAAATAAAGTTTGTGATGCAGTAGGTCAGGGTGGTGTTATAGACTGAATTGTGTCCCATCCAAATTCATAGTTTGAAGTCCTAACTTCAGTGTGACTGTTTTTGGAGATAGGGCCTTTAAAGGAGGTAATTATTGTTAAGTGAGGTCATAAGGGTGGGGCCCTAATCCAATAGGACCAGTGTCCTTACAAGAAGAGAGACACCAAGGGGCAGACACCAAGAGGAAAGGTCATGTAAAGACACAGCAAGAAGGTGGCTGGCTGTCTGCAAGCCATGGAGAGAAGGCTCAGCCCTGCCGGCACCTTGACCTTGGACTTCCAGCCTTCAACTGAGAGAAAACACATGTCTGCTGCTGAAGCCACTGTCTCTGGTCTGTTAGGCAGCCTGAGCTGACCCATGCAGGCGGGCTCTGTGGTCACTGGAGTGGTGGATTGTGAAGGATTTCTCTTCCTTTGCTCAGTGAGGTTTTACTTAAGATGGATTACTTTGGAAACAATGCAAAGAATGATCCCTTACTTTCGGACAGCCCTCTCAACTTTTCCAAGGACTTTCAAAGCCATGTATCATTTGTTCTAGACAGAGGCTGGTAGGGAGATGATATATTTTAACAGAACAAGCCTTTTCATTGTTTTTATTACTCAAAACAGTTTCATTTTTAAAATTTAGTTGAGTCTGTGCTTGTGCCTTCCATACTTTGACAATGATTTTCTGCCCCTCAATGAGGAAAGCACACTTGATCCTGTCGCGGACACACTGAGCACACACGGGGCTGCCGCAGGCCCTGCTGACATGGTTTTTCGTTTTGGACAATCTCATAACTTTCCGTCTCACAGCAAGAACTCCACGAAGTCCTCTGGGCACAGGCCACATGCAGATTTGGTGCTTCCCAACTATCTTGGTGTGAAGGTGAACTGTTACTGGGGTTCGGGGCACCTCGTTTTGTCAGAGGCTGTACTGCAGCACAGCCCCCGCCAGGGGAGGGGTTGGCCAAGCGTTGGACCATTGTTGGCCTGCGGACGGACATGCCCCAGAGAGGGAAAGGGGGAAGGTGCCATTCTGCTCATCCCACACAGGTGGGAACTGAGCCGCAGTAGGTGTCATAACTAGGAGTAGCCACAAGAAGCTCACAGGGGACCTTGGCTTCTCCCTGCCACTGCACAGAGCATACATTCGCCTACAAGCAAAGGGGCATCATAAGCTTGGGGACGTCTCAGCCGCCAAGAAGTGGCTTTCAGTGGCATTTGAAGGCCCCGGCCAGCAAGGTGCACTCTCCTCACCCTCCAGTGCAGGGAGTCAGGACTGCTCGGTTTGCTGGCTGCTCAGCTTTCCCCAGCCCCACCTGCTCTGGGACAGTGGCTGCCCCTGGGTTATTCTCAGCACGCTTTGTGGGGTCACTTTAGACAGGGCAGGAGACTGAGAGAAGGGGCTGCAGCCCATCTCGGTGGCCATTTCATAATATGGCTTCCACTCACTTGAGCTCTGTCAGTCTCTACTGAGCACCAGTGACGACTCTGGCCTTGGGCATCCTCACAACAGTTCTGGGGGTTAGGCATCATTCACACCCCCATTTTTACAAAGAAGCGGAGTCCCAGATATTCTCAGACTTGCTCAAGGTGTCATGTACAGTAAAGAGCCAAGATTCAAACCTAGACCTTTTTAACTTAAAAGTCTCCCTCTCCCTCTCCCTCTCC